AGAATCATTGATTTAAGTGAAATTTGTAGAAAGCCTGGGTCAGGAGTGAGTGGGAATGATTGTATTTTTATCTGTATTTTCTTACCTAACTAGGCATGATTGGTAGGTAAACAATATTATATACTATTTGTCAGATACTTTGTGAAGACTTTTAAATTCATTGTCAAGTTTAAATCTCACCACAGCCTTGTATGATGAAAATGTTATTGACATTTTATGAGAAAACTGTGATTTACAGAAGTTAAGTAGATAAGGTAAGTTCACAAAAATAGTAGCTAGTAGAAGGGAGGCCATCTGACTCAAGAATGTATGCACTTAATCATTATATTTTATGGCTTAGCACATAATATGCAGATTCCAACTTATAGCAAAACATGTTACCAATTTATGAATGACAAATGTATAAATTGCACAAAGGCTACAGTGGGAAAAAATTACATCCTAGATAAAGGAAAAAATTTTATCCTAGACAAAGGAAAAAAATTTTGTCATGCATGGGTCTTAAATAGCTTAGGCTTTCAAAATCCTCTGTATCTGCCAATTTGTGTTTTTTAAGGTGATAGAACACACAATCAGAAAATTTGGATGGGGACAAGTACTGGCTAAATACTCATCAACTAATAGTTAAACTAGTACTTAACTCTCTGCTCATAAAAATATACAGTGTGATTCTATGATTGAGTTCTAAAACTATTTAATAGTAGTCTGATGATTATATACACTAGAAAATCCTTATTTGTACCTGTCTGGAAAGATACATATCTATTTTTTCCTTTATTCTGGAAAGGGAATTATAGAATCAGACAGATACAAATAGATGATTTTAAAGTTTTTGTTTCTTTGGCTACAGCTGCATTTTGATAAAGTATAAAGGTACAAGATGCCACTCTATTTCACAGTGATGAGTTGGGGGGCGGGGTGGGTACAAAAGAATAACAAGATACAGGAAATTTTTCTTGTAATATATTCAAGTTCATAACTAATGCTTATAATTATGATTAAAACAGCTGACACTTATTGAATACTTGCTTACATGTAAGAAGTTGTCACAAGAAGATTTTTTAACTATCATTTAATTTTACCCATGAAATAGGAACTAGCTAATAATTATTCCGATGAGGAAACAGAATAGTTAAATGTTGGATCTAAGATTTAAACGCAGATAAGCAGGGCTTCTCTGGTGGCTCATATGGTAAAGAATCGGCCTGCAATGCAGGAGTTCAGGGTTTGCTCCTTGGGTTGTAAGGGTCTCTTGGAAAAGGGCATGGCAACCCACTTCAGTATTCTTAACTGGAGAATCCCATTGACAAAGGAGACTGGCAGGCTACGGTCCATGACATTGGCAAGAGTCTGACAGGACCGAGCCACGAATACTTTCATTTTTCATACTGGTTCAAGATCCCATTATTTCATGCTGCAGAATTTTAGGAAAGGCTTCCTTTACCTCCCTCCCAGCATTTAACTTTAAGATAGATCAGGTTTCCTCCCTCTTCAGTAGAGAACACTCATAATTTTCTCTTTGGATTATTTTAGAGATATATATGATGATTTACTTACAATCACTGGCTTAATGGTCTTATAAATGAGACAAATGCCTTAGGTTCATGTGATCAATACATACGAATTATGTCTTTAGTGCCTAGTTTTTCATTAAAAAAAAAACCTGAAAGATAAAAATTACACTGTAATTTGCTTCCTTGCACCATCTAGTGGATTTAAATGACAACTGCGGCAGTGGTATAAATAATTATAAGTCAATTACACGTCAAATTTTCAAACATCTGGAGAACAAACGCTAAAACTGTGTTTCAGCTCACACCACAAACATGGACATAGTTGTCCTCTGTCTTTTTTAAGAGGGAATTGATCAGCATGGGTGCTGAATTCAATAGCGAATGTTTAAATTTGTAAACAAAATAACATAAAATAGCGTCCTTAGCATCTTTTCCCCATTACAGACAATGAAAGTCTAACATATTCTACTTTCTTCCCACCCATTTCCCTGAACTCCAGCGCCGGCCAGGCAGCTGCGCGCAGGGACGAGCCCCGCGCGTCTGCGCGCCGCCCGCGCGCAGGCGAGCTGAGGAGCGGAAGTGGGGAGGCGGGGCTAAGCCGGGACCTGCGAGCGGAAGAGGCCGCGGCGGCGGAGAGCGGCACCCACAGCGTTTGGCGGCGGTGAGTCCCGGGCAGCCCGAGCCGCAAGTCCCAGCCCCGGGGGAAACGCCAGGAAAAACGGAAGGACCAGGGATTCCGAAGCAGTCTCCGCTGACTGCCGCTCCCCTGCCGTTGCCGCGGCGGACGCTTCCGCACTCTCCGCTGAAGACGCGGCCCTGACAGGCCTAGAGGCCTAGGCGCGGCCCTCCGAGCCCGACGTGTTGCCGCCGTGCAGCTGTGAGTAATCCGAGCGCCCTCTCCACGGCCGTTTACAGATTAAAATGGAGGAAATTTCCTTGGCTAACCTGGATACTAACAAGCTGGAGGCCATCGCTCAGGAGATATACGTAGACCTGATAGAGGATTCTTGTTTGGGCTTCTGCTTTGAGGTGCACCGGGCAGTCAAGTGTGGCTACTTCTACCTGGAATTCGCAGAGACTGGTAACGTGAAGGATTTTGGCATTCAGCCAGTTGAAGATAAAGGAGCGTGTCGCCTCCCGCTTTGCTCCCTTCCTGGAGAATCCGGGAATGGGCCTGATCAGCAGCTGCAACGCTCACCTCCGGAGTTCCAGTAGCCGCCACGTGAGAGTCTGAGGGTGACCAGGTCAACGACATAGACCAGTCCCGTGGTTTTGAGAAGTTAGGTAGCTAAGTAGAAAAAAAAAAAAAAATCAGACAAAAGTCCCAATTCCCACTGAAGATCCTACCCTTTAAAAACCCGAAGTGGAGAATTTAGGAATTCAGATCCTTGTATAAGTGTATTGCGTTGGGTCAGCTTTGAAATCCTGAGCAGGAGGAGCTGTACTATGGATCCAGCGCGCCGTGCCGCGGTTGATTTCTAGTGCACAAGAACCCCGTACTGTCCCCAGTGCACAGGTGAGCAGCTGTGCACCCAGCATATAAAGTTCTTTGGTTCCTCAGCCTTTCTGTCTGCCTGATGTAACTGACAGTTTCTGGGTAACTGACAGTTTGGACATAACTGATGGACAGGCCTTTATCGTTGGGCCACAGTGGGACGACACCTCTGATCTCTCAGCCTTGGGTTTCTCCAAGACACATGCAAGTCAGTGATGAGAGCTGGATATTAGGCATTCCAGTCTAGTAAAACCCTTCCTGGCCGAATCTGTAGGAGAAGCTCTGTGGTCTTGATTGCAAGGAGAAGAAAAGCTCAAAGTCACCAGTTTCCCAAAGGTCCAGCATTTAAAAATGACGTCAACGGACTTGGGGACTTGGGCTAGCATCTTGCTCAACAGGGCCCTCTTTCTTGCACCACATCTGGTGGCATAGGCTTAGCAGATGGACAACTTGGTTATCCAAGCAAGCTGAGGATTGAGTAATGATCCCTTGGGGAGGTAGCAGGGCCTTCTGCAACTATGCACGATCTTTCAAACTGCAAGATTCTTAACTGGATGTCTTATGCTGTGGACAGCAGTTCAGTGGGGCATTTTCCTACTCTCGAGTCACTAGTTACCTTGCCAGTCTGTGGGTCTAACTTGGTTATTATGCCAGGTCACTACCTGCCTCCCACTTTCAGGGCAGAAGTGAACTATGGAAGAGCACCATGGCTAGCCAGGAGGCTGAACTTTCAAAGTTGAGCCCAGAGGGGACCTTTTCCAGCTATAGTCAGCAATGTGCTGGGAACCAAGGAGCAATCCTGGGTCATCTCTCATCTGACTGCAGTATCCTGTCGCACACCCCTGCTCCTTGGGTTGGGCAGTCACGGGGTTTTGTGGTGGCGAACATCTAGACGGTCACCACCTGCCCCTCACACGGGGCAGTGCTCTCCAGTCAGTCCCCTTTGGACTTTCTTGACAACAAGAGCTGTCGTTTTGTTGCGTGAAGGACAGGACCTTTCAAGGAAAGGACCCCCAGAAGCCCCCTGGTTTTAGAGGATGGGGTAGGGGATGATGGGAACTGTGAGCTGTGTGTCAAAGCTGCTCTCCACTTGACTCCCTGATTGAAGTTTATGCTGTGTAGAGGGGTGGGAGCCCCCAAGGTGAGCGGGAACGGTGCTGCTTTCTTTGAAATGTTTTCTTACCTCATCTGTGCCCCAGTAAGGGGCCCAGCCTCATTTTCCTGGCTTGGCCCCTTGTCCTCCAGTCCCTGCCCCACTGCCTGTCTGGTACAGCTCATCACCCGGGTGCTGCCTGCCACTCTTCATTCACGCTGACCAGTTCTAATTTCTCTCTCTTGATTCTCCTGCTTCTGAAGCCTGCCCAGTTTCCCTTTCCTTGACTTCTTTTAAGTTTTGTTTTCTTGTGTTTGTGAGAGCAGAATCTGTCTTATGGCTCCCTCGATTGGGATTGGGATGGGAGGAGAAAGTAATTTTTTTTGTATGTGACAAACAGTGTCATACCTAAGCATTCCCCTGTAGGACTGCCGTGCTGATATGCCTTCCTGCTGTGTCTCACTTTCTGAGAAGGTTTATCACCCCCCCTCCACTTGGGTACTGCCTCTAGGACCCAAGCAGAAGAGCAGTGAAGGACTGATGCGTGGGAGTGCAGTAGGTCCTGATCCATTTCCTCTCACCCCTGCTGTGCACGTATCCTTCCTGATCCCAGAAGGAACTGTTCGGACTCGTCCTTGGACTGGTTTGGGGTACATACCGTGCAGGGGTAAGGGAAGCATAGTAATAGGGCCTTGAGGCTGCTTATTATTGCATTCTCCCTCTAGAGTTGTCCTGCTCAGCGTCAGGTCCTAGCTACAGATTGGGCTTCAAGAATTGTAGTAAAGTCAGACCTTGGCAAGAACTAAAATAATTTGGGGTTACCTGCCCTTGGCTTTTTTATAGACATCTCCTTCTAAGGAGATGCAGAAGGAAAGGAGGGTCTAAGTGAGACTCTGGCCTACCTACAATAATGTCTGGGAAACAGGCTCAACTTAAGGTTATGGTCCACTCTTACTTCAGAGAGGGAGCTCAGATTGTGACACTGCTGTTTCCTTTCTGGCCTTTTCTCCTGGTTAGAGGAGGAAGAATTGGAAACAGTTTTGAGTAGTGGTTGGTTCACGTTACCTCCCTCTTGGTTTGTATTTTTGTTTTTTTGCCCCCCATTATTAGGGCAGTGGCCCCCTGATTGAGTATGAGGTGGGCTAGGTCTAACAGGTGCCCTGAGGGGATAGACTATTTTCATTTTGAGGGAGAGAATTCTCCCTACCATATAGTTGACAGTGGTTAGGAACTCTCCCTTTCCCTACCTATCTTTCCTCTTAACAGCAGAATTCCTGTCCTAATCTCCTCAATTAAGTGTATTGCTCACCCTGTAATTCTATTATGTATCTGAGTGTGTATGTATTGGGGGGGGGAGGGGAGGGGTTCTTTACAAATTTCTGTGATTTGTGGCTTTTTCTTCCATACATTAGTTCCCACCACCGCATGCCCAGGGGCCATTGCCTGGCATTGTCGCATGCTGGGATCATTGGGGAAGTATAGTGAAACTCATTGTCCTCTGTTTTGGAGAGTCTTATTTTTGCATAAGTAGTCCATACTATACAGATTGCTAACTAACTGTGTATTCCCCTTGCCCCTATGGCTGCTGGTGTAAATAAACTGCATCTCCTCATTGGTAAACGATGACAATAAACAAGATTTTAAAAATGATTTTATTTGGACTCTATATTCATCTTTTAAGATTATACATGTTTCTTGGGCTTTCACATAGTGAAATAAGTGTTGAACCACTGTTGACCCTTGACCCTTAGCCACTTTCTTCTGAATAGGAGTTTTATCAGAAGAGAGGAATTTTATTTCTTCATCTGATAGTTCAGATTTAGCTTTCTGCAACAGCCAGTGAGAGAGAGAAGCTATACAATCTTCCTTTTACGATAATAAGTAAGAAGGTGGTAAAATATAATCCAGTCCTGTCACTAAATAAGTCCAGTGTGAAGGATAGTTCAATTTGAATGGTACTAGAGGTATCTTAGTATATACATATTCTTGCTCTCGAGAGGCAAATAATTCATAGCAATAATGAGTCAGCCTTTCTAAAAGTTAACTTTTTTCTAATACTTTTCATTTTACTCCAAGTGTTTAGGTCTGTAATTTTGTTTTTTAGATTAATTCAGAAATTTTTTAAAAATTTATTCCAGTTCATATTCCAAAGTTAGAGCACTTTCTCTAGAAAATGTACCAATTGCTCCTTAATATTGATAAAAATCACTTGTTTGCTGAATGTTCTAGGTCTTTAAACAGCCCAGAAGCATAAATAATATTTAGATGAATAAAATGTATTATAGGAATGGGACCAGAGGAAACCTGTTGAAGTAGATATCTCAGGGGACGTTACTGACATGTGACATGTATTGCGTCACCTAACACTCATGCAGCTGCCACAAATATTTTTGGATCTTATTTTGTATGTTTAGATTTGAATTAATATATTTCATGCTAACCTACTTTTCTGAAATGAGGTATTTGCAAGACCTCTACTAAATTACTTGATGGCAGGACATACAAGTTTATTTCTGTTCATGTTTTCTAACTAATGATCTTTATACTTAAAAAAAAAGTACATACCCTTTAACTCCTTATAGTACAGTATAGTATGGTGAAGTCACTCAGTCGTGTCCGACTCTCAGTGACCCCATGGACTGTAGCCTACCAGGCTCCTCAGTCCTTGGGATTCTCCAGGCAAGAATATTGGAATGGGTTGCCATTTCCTTCTCCAGGGGATCTTCCTGACCCAGGGATCGAACCCAGGTCTCCCTCATTGTAGGCAGACACTTTACCGTCTGAGCTACCAGGGAAGCCCCCTTTAACTCCTTAGATATTATGTTTTAACTGTGGCATGTAACATGAGGTCAGGAACCAAATAAATGATTGCTTGATGCTGACAGAAAATGAGATATGCCCAAGTAGTAAAGGATTCAGGAAGAGCTTTCTTTAAATATATTTTAATATTAGTCTTTAATTATGGATAGGGAATTGCTGGTTATCAGAGATAATGTCAGACTTTGAAAGTTTTAATCTGTTGTGGAAGGCACAAGCTTTCTGAATCTTAACACATTTTCCAAAGAAAATATAGGTGTTGCACCGGCTCAGAAAGATAAACCTGTAGATTTCTTAGTTTTGATTTTTCCATTTTGAAAATTTTGATCCTTGTTACTTGAACCTAGTTGAACATATGTGATCTGAAAAGGAAATAGTCCCTTCAGAGATGAGAAAATGTATTAAGCAACAGTGACTTGCCCACAATTCAAAGACAAAATTACAGAAACAAAAACAATGCTAGTGCAAGGCCAGTGCACTTTGTTGAAGCAAGAGAATTTACTAACTGAAAGGACTAGTTTTTTAAAAGATAAATTACCTTTAAAGTAGAATGAACATGTGATGCTAATGAAAACTTTAAGACGATGAATGAAAACATTGAAAAAGTGGAAAATGTATTTAACAAAAGTGACTCTCAAGGAATTTTTATTTTTAATCTTAATAAATGTAGTAATTTACATTTAGAACTTTAAAAAGATCCTGTTTCTACCCAAATACACATACAAATACTAGACTCATAGAATTTTACAGACAGTATAGCAAGAAACAAAAATCATTATAAACTCAGTAATAGGAAGATGTTAGCAAACCAACTCCAAACTTTGTCAAATCATGTTAATCCCAGGAAAGATTTTGATTCAGAAAATCATCACCATTAGAGAAAATCAGTGTGAAATTTCAATACAGAACAATAGTTTGCAAAATTCAGTGCCAATTATTGACTTTAAAAATACTAATTGTATAGAAACAAGGGCTAAAGAACTTCCATACACTGATAATTTATGTATCGGAATCTACAATTGCTTTGCTTAATGGTCAAATACTTGGAAGCTTTCTCTTTAAAAGCAGGAGTGGAAGAAACAAAACTCTCATTCTCAGGTGGTATCTAAATAGATAGTTGTATAGATTCTAGGAACATCCACTGGAAGTGATCATAGAATGCAGTTACGTTGCTAGTTATAAGAATCCAAAATCAGAACAATGAAACATTGTAAATGTTGTGTTTATAATGTAATGCAACAAAAGTATATACAGTCCTATGTAATAGTAATATAACAAGAAGTGTAAGGTTTTATGAAAAAAAAATTTCATCTGGAATGTTAAAACTCAAATAAATGAATCATAAGACACCAAAATAAATGGAGAATGACGGGATGTTCGTGGGTAGGAAGGTCAGTATCATCACTCCAATTATATGAGTTGGAAGTAATCTTGATTAAAATCCAAATAGATGTTTTCATTTTAATTTTAAGATTTATGTGAAAATCAAGGCACAAGAATAGACAAGATCGTATTGACAGATGGATCTTATACATAGTGAGATTGCAGTGCAGAAACAAAACAATAGAAGAGAGTTCAGAATTAGATGGAAAAACAAACACATTTATATCATCCTGATGTGTGACTAAATTGGTATTGTAGTCAGTAGATTATGAACTGCCACATTGTTCTGGAATAGATTAGCCATAAAGATTAAAACTATACTCTAGACACAAAAATTAATTCCCATGAGGATTTAAGACATTGTGAAAAAGTAAAACATCAAATCTTTAGAGGGAAATACAGAAGGGTATGTTCATAATTGTAGGTAAGGAAAAATAAGTAAATAAAAGTACCAAAAAAAGATGGGTATGTTGGACCACAATAAAACTATGCACCATCATACCAGAAACACACACACAATGACAAAATACCGTAACACGCTAGTAGGAGTCTTACAATTCTTAGAACTAATAAAAGATTGTTAACAAAATAATTATACAATTGACAAATGGACAAAATAAAAGAACAGCTCATTTATAGAATAAGAAATCCAAATGACAGAAAAAAAAAAGATGTGAAAAGTTCACTTAGTTTCAGAGAAATAAAAACTAATAGCAAATTAAATACCAATTTATACCACTTAGTCTAAAAAAGTGTGAGGATATCAACTCTGACAGGTATATGGAACAGTTAAAAGTCTTGTGCATTGCAGACTGTTAAATGATTAAAAAATTTTTGGAAAGCATTTTGGGAATATTTACTGCAGTTGATGTGAATAACCAATATCCCGATATTTCCACCTTTTGCAGCATTGTTTTCTACTATGAAAAAATTCAAAGAGATACAAATATCCATTTAAAAAAAAGTCAAATGCAAAAGTGAAAATAACAGGATTGCACAAATAAAATACTTTGTAAAACATTTGTTCTTATAATTTGATACATTTTATTTGAAACAGTATGCAAAACAATGCTATATTGTGTTTAGGGATATGTACCTCTGTAATAAAATTTATACCAAAAATGTGAACTAGACTTCCAGTTCTATGTGTATCATGGTCTGGATATTGGAGAAAGACTTCTTGGTGCAAAAAGAACCTGGATGCTGAATAAATTGCCACAAAGATACTATCAACTGTCTTGTTATCCTCCCAAAAAAGTATGGGAAATATTCAGCTCTCTCTTCCTATTACACACATGTGTGCATGCCCACACACACACACACACACACACACACACACAAACACAACCAAAGACAAGCAAAAACAGAAAATGGGACTGCACTGCAGGACATACAGAACCCAGGAACTTCCGCATGGAGATAGGAGATTATACTTTGATCATCACAAATTGAGATCATTCATTATGCCCCCCTTAAATACAAGATACCTGAAATAATTTTTACATCCTTAGTGAAAGAATGAACAGAGTAAAAGAAAAACAAGGATCTTTCTGATTTTAGAAACGACAGTTAAAAAAGCCTCTGCCATAGCCTGAGGTTAAATTAACTAACTAAAATAATAACATCATCATCATCATCATTTCCTTTGGAAATTGATACTTATACCCTTGCTTTCACATAGTTACCCTACCCTTAACTTCTGCCTGAAGATTATATAATGTCCCCAAGATAATACACTTCTTGGCTACATAATAATATTTGGGTTCCTCACATTCTCTCAAAATATAAACACATTCTCACAAAATACAAACTTGCTATAAAAGTAGCATCTATTTTTTTTTAAGTTCTCTTAACTGCTCTCATATTCTGCATCTAATCATTGTTTTTACAAGAAAGGAGTTCTAATTTTTTCATTCATTCTTATCTATTTTTGGTTGTACTACATGGTATGCAGCATCTTAATTCCCTGACCAAGGATCAACCCATGCCCCCTGAAATGGAAGCACAAAT